GAGTTCTATAGTTTCCTTATTCAACTTTTGTTTGGAAGATCTGTCCAGTGGCGAGAGAGGTGTGTTGAAGTCTCCCATGATTATGGTGTGGTGGTCTATTAGACTCTTGAACTTGAGAAGAGTTTGTTTGACGAACATAGCTGCACCATTGTTTGGGGCATAAATATTTATGATTGTTATGTCTTGTTGGTGTATGGTTCCCTTAAGCAGTATGTAGTGTCCCTCTTTATCTCTTTTGATTAACTTTGGCTTGAAATCTATTTTATTTGATATGAGTATGGACACGCCTGCTTGTTTCCGAAGTCCATATGAGTGATATGATTTTTCCCAACCTTTCACCTTCAGCCTATGTATGTCTTTTCCTATCAAATGCGTCTCCTGTAGGCAGCATATTGTTGGGTCTTGTTTTGTGATCCATTCTACTAGCCTGTGTCTCTTAATTGGTGAGTTTAAGCCATTAACATTTAGGGTTATTATTGAGATATGGGTTGTTCTTCCAGCCATATTTGTTTATTTCTGTTACTAAACATTGTTTGTTTTCCTCTTTGATTGTTTCCCCCCCCCTTTACTGTCCTACCTCCCACTGTTGGTTTTCATTGTTATTTTCCATTTCCTCTTCCTGTAATACTTTGGCTAGGATGTTTTGAAGAGATGGTTTTCTAGCTGCGAATTCTTTAAACTTTTGTTTATCGTGGAAGGTTTTAATTTCATTCTCCATCCTGAAGCTTAATTTCGCTGGATACACAATTCTTGGTTGGAACCCATTATCTTTCAGTGTTTGAAATATGTTATTCCAGGATCTTCTAGCTTTCAGAGTCTGTGTTGAAAGATCAGCTGTTATCCTGATTGGCTTGCCCCTAAATGTAATCTGCTTCCTTTCTCTTGTAGCTTTTAAAATTCTCTCCTTATTCTGTATGTTGGGCATCTTCATTATAATTTGTCTAGGTGTGGATCTCTTATGATTTTGCACATTCGGCGTCCTGTAGGCTTCTAGGATTTGGGATTCTGTCTCATTCTTCAAGTCTGGGAAGTTTTCTTGTATTATTTCATGGAATAGACTGCTCATTCCTTTGGTTTGGAGCTCTGTACCTTCCTGTATCCCAATGACTCTTAAGTTTGGTCTCTTAATGTTATCCCATATTTCTTGGATGTTCTGCTCATGGTTTCTTAACAGTCTTGCTGAGCTGTCTATGTTCTTTTCCAGTTGAAATACTTTGTCTTCATTGTCTGATGTTCTATCTTCTAAGTGTTCTACTCTGTTGGTAGTATTCTCCATTGAGTTTTTAAGTTGGTTTATTGCTTCCTGCATTTCTAGGATTTCTGATTGCTTGTTTTTTATAACCTCTATCTCCCTGTATAGTTGATCCTTTGCTTCCTGGATTTGTTTGCGTAATTCGTTGTCGAAGTGATCTTTCATTGTCTGATTTTCCTGTTTAATGTCTTCCTTGATACTCCAGATCATCTGAAGCATGTATATCCTGAATTCTTTATCTGACATTCCATCTGCTGCAGCTGTTACCTCTTCTAAAGTTGCGTTGACCTGCATTGCTTGTGGTCCTTTCTTTCCTTGTCTTTTCATACTGCTTGCGTATCTTTCCTGCAGGTGCGGGCGGCGGCTCTGCTCTCTCCTTATTCCAATTGGGGTGTCGTGGCTACCACGCCGGCAGGTCACTGGGCCTGTTCTGGGAGCTGGTGGCGGCTCTGTTCTGCCCCTACTCCAATTGGGGTGTCGTGTCTGTCGTACCAGCAGGCCACTGGGCCTGTCCTGCTGGTCGGTCGCAGATCTGCCCACCTTTCGGGCACGAGTGGAGGCTCTGCTTTGCCCCTACTCCAATTGGGGTGTCGTGACTACCCCGCCTGCAGGATGCTGGGTCTGTTCCTGGCAAGGGAGGCGACTCTGCTCTGTCCCTACTCCAATTAGGGTGGTGTTTGTACCCCGCCGGCAGGCTCCTGGGCCTGATCCGCGGGTCTGTTGTAGGTCTGCCTACCTTGAAGGCGCTGGCGGCGGATCTGCCCTGCCCCTCCTACCACGCCTGCGGACCCCTGGGCCTGATCTGCAGGTTGATCACTGGTCTGCTCACCCTGCGGTCACGGGTGGCGGTTCCGCTCCACCCCCACTCCAATTGGGGTCACGTGACCACCACACCGGCAGGGCCTGATCCGGGCGTGGGATAAGGATCTGCTCTGCCCCTACTCGAGTTGGGGTGACGTGTGTACCACACTGGCAGGCCACTGGGCCTGACCCGCCAGGCTGTCACAGGTCTGTTTACCTTGCAAGCGCGAAGGGCGGCTCTGCCCTGCCCCTCCTACCACGCCCATGTACTACTGGGTCGTGGGTCTGCCCACCTGGCGGGTGTGGGTGGCGGCTCCGCTCCGCCCCCTCTCCAATTGGGGTCACGCGGTCACCACGCTGGTGAGCCGCTGGGCCTGCTCCGGGGGCTGGCGGCGGCCCGGCTCCTTCCCTCCGGCTCGAGGACAAATTGAGGAGACTCGGGTGACTGAGCCTCACCCCCCTTACCAGGAGACCAACTGCTTATGTCACCGCTGGTATTGATGAAGATCTCTCCTCCACCGCTTTCTGCTGACATCAGATCTCTGCCATGTTGGTATCCTATGCGAATGGCAGCATTTCGTTCCCCTTGCCTGGCAACCCAAGCAATGGGTGAGTCCTGACCTGCCCTCAGCAGGACCCGGACCGAGACACAGTTTCCGCGGGCTCCTAGCCCCGGTCCAGGGAAGTTCCGGGAGCCGGAACTCGGCCGCTCCGTGCTCGGTGTAAGCTCCTATAAGTGTAGGCTCCAAGAAGCAGCCCCCGCGGGCTCAGTTCCGGGAGCCGGAATTCGGCCGCTTAGTGTTTGGTGTATGCTCTGATAGTAGCAGGGTCCAAGAAGCAGCCTCCGCGGGCTCCGCAGCCCTGAGCCAGGGCGGTTCCGGGACGGTTCCGGGAGCCGGAACTCGGCCGCTCTGTGCTCGGTGTAAGCTCCTATAAGTGTAAGCTCCAAGAAGCAGTCCCCGCGGGCTCAGTTCCGGGAGCTGGAATTCGGCTTCTTGGTGTTTCGTGTTTGCTCTGATATTAGCAGGGTCCAAGAAGCAGCCTCCGCAGGCTCCGCAGCCCGGAGCCAGGGCGGTTCCGGGACGGTTCCGGGAGCCGGGACTTGGCCGCCCCGCGCTCCGTGTTCACTCCGATAAGATCAGATTTTAAGAAGCCCCCAGGCACTGAACCCTAGCAATCTGTCTGCAAGCCGCAGGCGAATTGCAGCCTGAAATTACCTGTTCTATGGCTGAATGAGCTGCGGTCAGTCAAAAACAGGTGTGGTGACGTCAGTTTACCAACATGGTGGCTGCTGGCCTCCTCTGTGGTCTGACCGGTGTGGAGAACCGAGATGGACCGCTTCCTTCCCCGTCTCGAACCCAGAATTCAGCCCTGAGTGCGGTGCTTGCGCGTCTGGCAGAAACTGCAGCGCTGTAACCCTGCGTCTCTATCCCAGCGCGCCTTGCAGACTCTAGCCGCGGGGCGATTTGCTGAATAAGCAGTTTTACCCTCCGTGCGACAAACCTCTCGCGTTTGAGTCCCCGTAGCCGATCCTCATGCGATGGAAATCCTTCCTCCAGGTTCCGGCGCACCCCACTATTGCTGGAAATTCCTAACAAGATATCCTTTAGCCGTCCTGACTTGTCACACTCCCACACAGTGAAGCAGCACACGGGGGCAATGCACTCCCCTCGCCGCCATCTTCCCTTCCCTGTCTCATTCTTTAATACACCCCAAATGCCTAGAAGAGGACCTAACAAAGCATAGATTCTCCATCAATAATAGATAAGAGATGGATGCATAAGGTCAATTCTACTTTTGAAAGAATTAGAAACATCTAAAATGATGTATCCATGGGATTTCCCCACAATCCTAAAGCAATGGTGGTCTAGCTGTAGATAATCTATTCCCCACACCCCCCAGTGACCTCAACATTTTGAAGAACATTTTGAACAACTAGTCATGAAAGAACCAGAGACCACTGTCTAAAGAATTCTGAAATAAGGCCCTGTTTAGTGGCAGGGGAAAAAACCAAGCTCCTGGACACTGTTGTCATGGTGATCCCAGGTCAACTCATCCAAGGGACAGAGAGCTCAGCGAGATTGCCAGTGTGGCCTTCATGCCATCTGGATAAACATCAGGCAGAAGGCAGGCATTCACCCAGGAGACAGGGTGACTCTGAGATTTTGTTCTTCTCAAGAGAAGGTGAAAAGAGGTGAAGAACAGCAGAGGGCTGCCCCTGTGGGAAGCTCTGCAGGAGGGGGCAGATTATGGAATGGATTGATGCTTGATGGAATGGAAAAAACACTCTCTCTTTCTTGCTTCATCTACTAATACTTGCTATTTAAAAGGAGTAAAAACATTGATTCTTAAGAAAAATGTAAAGCTCAGAAGTCAAGTTCTATCCAAGGCTCCATAATATCTATCTTTGTCTTATAAAAGAAGAAAACATGAATAGCCATGGGCATGGGATAATGGATGATTTTTAGATTTGTTCATATCCAGGGGCCCAATTAGAGATATACATACACATCAGATTATCTGATGAAATGTGTGAAATTTAAAAATTCTCCTGAGAGAGTCAGAAATGAAAAAGAAAGAAATAAAAGAAAAAAAAAAAAGACTTGTAAAATCTTTGCTTCATTGAAACCAACAAACCAAAACCCAACCAAGGTTCTGATACTAAGAAATTGCTGGGCCATCTTAAAAAATGGCTGAATTAAGATGGATAGGAATATAAAACACTGATTAATTGGGTCACAATAATAATTAGCTAAAAGTTCAGGTGGCCTGTCTTTCCAGCATAACCCTGGAAACAGACTATTTTTGTGCTAATGAGATATGTGTTTCTCAAGCAACAACAAAACATATCGTCTAATGAAATTTTGTTTTATTTTTTTCTCTTTCTGTCCATCTGTCTGTCCGTGTGTGCGCCTCTCTGGCTCTTCTTCATTCTGTGGGATGACAGAATCATCTGCTGCGGAGTCCCAGGGAAAATGCAGCATCTCGGAGGATGAGCTGATTACTGCCATTAAAGAAGCAAAAGGGTTATCATATGAAACCACGGAGAGTCCACGGCCGGTTGGCCAGGTGTCCGACAGACCCGAGGCCAAGGCCAGGTCCGGGTTGCCAACCATCCCCAGTCCCCTGGACCCTGAGGCTAGCAGTGCAGAATCCGGGGACTCGGAAATTGAGCTGGTGTCTGAGGATCCGATGGCTTCTGAGGATGCGCTGCCCTCGGGCTACGTGACCTTCGGCCCTGTGGGTGGCCCTCCGCCTTCACCTGCCTCCCCATCCATCCAGTATAGCATCCTGAGAGAGGAGCGAGAGGCCGAGCTGGACAGCGAGCTCATCATCGAGTCCTGTGACGCCTCCTCGGCCTCGGAGGAGAGCCCTAAACGGGAGCAGGACTCGCCCCCAATGAAGCCCAGCGCCCTGGACGCCATCCGGGAGGAGACTGGCGCCCGGGCGGAGGAGCGCGCGCCCAGCCAGCGGGGCCTGGTGGAGCAGGGCCCCTTCACATACCCCTCGGCTGTCCCCCAGCCCGGCCCCGAGCTGCCCTCTGGAGACCGAGCCTCAGCCCCCGAGGGGTCCCCACCGCAGCGAAAACCTGGGGAAGAAGCAACGATGTCCAACCAAAGTCCGTCGGCCACAGAGGGCCCTGGACCGCGAGGCCCTGACACCATACCCCCTTTGCCATTTCTCAATAAGCAGAAAGGTAAAGTGACAGCTATTCTGATGGGAGTAGGCTTGTCTGGTTTGTGTTCTCCCCCTGGGTGCTCTTTGAAGGATCCATCAGGGAGGCGGGAGGTGGTCTGGTTTGTCCCTGTGGTCATCATCATGCTGGTCAGACAATAGACTGGAGAACAATTCCCTTTTGGGGAAGGAAGGAGAGAATTCAGATTTGCAGCTGGGACAGACCATGGTGTCAAAGCCACGTGCTCCCAGCATCAGTGGCCTAGTGAACCCAAGCACTCTGAATAATGAGCAATTTTGTGTACACTCCAGGAGGTCTTGAATGGAGTGAATGTGCCTTTCCTTTCATTCCAGGGCTGGGTTTCCCAGTCCCTTGGAAAGGGATGCTTTTCTTGTTATTGTCCTAGCTCCTGTTTAGTTTCTGGCCTCTTCTGTGATGTGGACTAGCTTTGTCCCTCCATATTCAAACCCACCAGTAGCAGGGACCAGCCAAAGGTATTTCTTAAACAGACCAAGAGGAGCTCAGCTCCATTTTTCTCTTACCTAAGGAGCAAGATATTTGGATCTTGATACAGGTTTTGTCCTAGATAGTCAGGAAAGAGAGGGAGCAGTGGGTTCCAGAATTTCTCCTGTCTCTGAACAAGACCTAAGGTGGTTTTAATTTGGTCATTGTGTTCTCTGAGAACTCCTGAATATCTTCAAATAAAGATAAAGTGGAAATTTTGTATTTACCAAGCATATATATACAGAGGAAGTTCTTTCCCTTGCTGCTAACTCATCCAACACACCTGAGTGCAGTTGTATCTCAGTATTCAGGAATCAAAGAGTCATATGAACAAATGAGGCTCTGCTGATTTTGTTTTTGTTAATGCACTGCACTGGGTAGAGAACTCCCAGGTAGAACTTCAAAACACACCCTAAAAGTACAACTTCACTGTAGGTCCCCCGGCAACCATCTCTTCTACTTTTTGTTTCTTTGGAAGTATTTAGCATTTGGGGAATAAATGTATACTCACAGGAAGGGTATACTCTCCTTCCTGCGTATCTACTACCTTCAGTGATTAGCAATTAAAAGTGATTTCTAACAACTTGGAGGGCACAATCTTTCTCATTATAGATTGGAAGCTACCATCTAAATTCTTTAACATGGACACATTAGAATGTGATAATGTAAAGGAATGAAACAAAAAGATAACTTGCTGTTTGGTTGCTGCTGGCTTAGCCAAGGGCATCGTGGTGGTGCAGTGTTGATGAGGTGACATGATTGACTTTTAATTTCCTAAATCCTCCTAGGTGTGTAAAGTATATTTAGTATATACAATAGGAGGATATTTGATGACAAATTTAATAGTAGAAATGTGTATTTGTTAGTTGAATATTAAAACTCATTTGGATTCTTTTGCCACCACTCTGTGGTGGGGAAGAACTCTGCAGTTTTCAGGGAGCCACAAGCAAGAACATTAGCAAGAACAACCTTCGGTCTCCTGGGACTGGAACTGTTGAACTTGTGGCATGGTGGGTATGTGTTCATATCACTATACAGTGACAGGCCTGCATCTCCATTTTCTCCCCTAATGTTCCTGAAATAATCACCATGCACCCAGTGCTGTTCAAATATGTGTATTCTCAAAGGCAAATAAATCTGAAGAGCAAAGGGAATTTTGTAGTTCCATTTCCCTCCCTAGTAAATTTGGAGGGATGAGTACAACAGCTGGGACTGACTGACCAGACATCTGATGAAGAGCTGAGGGAATGGAAAAGCTGCATCTGTGAATGAAAGGGCTTCACAGAATCTTTTATGGCCAATCCAGTGCCATTTAAATCTCTGTGCAAGTTTTCCCGTATGGCTTGGACCCTTCCCTGCTAAGATTCAAAGTTAGGAGAGAGTAGCAGTCTTTTCAAAAGACTAAAGCATGCCAGGTAAGTAACCTATGCTCTCCTGTGCACCAAGGGGTCCTTTGAAATCTAGTCTCCTACTGAAACTCACTGCTCAGCTGCACTATCTATGAAAAGACTCTAAAAGGCCATTCTGGAACAGCTAAGCACCGGAGGCCCTGGACAGATGAGTCAGTGCCTTTAGCAGGTTATTTGAGCCCTGAGGTTCCTTCTGGTCTCACCTGCTCCATCTCCGCAGGTAAGGAAGAATGAGTGCTACCCAGCCTTCCCCAGGCTGTTCTTAATCACTGTCACTAGGCAGTCGTGTGTTCATGCCAAATGTGACTGCCCTCAGCAGTGAGGTCATGTCAACCTTTGGATTTCCTGCTCTTGTCCACTGAAGTGTCTGGCAATCTCAGTGCATTCAAGTTTATACATTTACCAAGAATACTTACCAGTTCCCCTGTCTTTGAAGCTATCTCAATTCTGCAGGGCTTAATTTCAGAAGCATCTAGAAATATTTAGAATAAGATTAAGCAGATATTTAATGGCATCATAGCTTTCACCATTATGGAGCAGCAGGCTTATGGGTGCACATTCCCTAACCAGGTCTATTTTCAGAACTTTCTCACCTTTCAGAAACCTCTGCTATTTTTGCACTGGAAACAAAACACAGTTCTTTGTTCATGTTTTAGTTTCCAATTTGTGCTTCCCCATACCTTGTAGGACAGCCTGTTATGAACGTCAGACTCTGAAGAGTCATTCTTCAAGGGTAGCACTGTTAGAAATGTCTGAGTGAAAAGCCAATATAAAAATTCTCAATAAAACACAAATACGACTCATCAGGATAGGTATGTGGCATTTACTGAAACTATTTAATTGTAGAATCTTTGTTATTAGGATATGCCTATGAGTTCATCTTCTAGTAGAAGCACTTTGGGAAATGTTATCATTTTTGCCTTGAAGTCCAGTCTCTGTTTTCTGATTACTTTACTATGCAACTCAAATGTACGGTGCTTGGGCTAGCCCTATAGACACCATGTGGGAGCCTGTTAGAAATGGGGAATTTGGGGCTGGAGTTGTGGCTCAGTGGTTCTCTACCTAGCATGTGTGAGGCACTGGGTTTGATCCCCAGAACCTCATTAAACAACAACAACAACAACAAAACACCTAAATAAACAAAATAAAGGTATTGTGTCCATTTACAAATAAAGAAAGAAAGAAAAAGAAAAGAAATGGGGAATCTTCGGCTCCTTCCAGGACCTGCTGAATTGGAATCTGTGTTTTAATAAGATCCCTTTCTGATTCCTATGCTCATGAAAGATTGAGAAGCAGTGTTTTAGGTATAGAAGTTAGCTGTCACATTCCTACCTAAAGTCATTCTACTAAGTCACCAATGACTTCCTATTTGCCAAATGGCCTCTTTTTTTTTTTTTTTTTTTTTGTCCTTTATGGTCATACTGCTGATCAATTTAAAACATTAGTTTAAAAAAAGAAGCAATGTTCATAATTATTAACTCAAACTGTACAAAAAAAAAGTTGCCCTATCTACCCTTCGTTTTCTAATTCTCAGTAACCATAGTCTTGCTTTGTTTTGTTTTTATCATTGTTCCTTTCAAACATTTTCTCTAATCAGGATATAGAAATTTTTAAATGCACAAGTGATATCATATCAAGCATCCTGTTTGGTAGCATTTCATTTAACATTAAAATTGGGGGTAATATCAACTCACCTGGAGATAATTCACTCCTTCTCAGAGCTTTGTCTTCCCCTATTGCAGTAATGTTTTCCATTCCCTGCTCTCCCCTTCCTCCCTCACCTCTTTTCCCATCTCTCGCTGTCTGCCTTCAGGTTGCCCTGGCTTATCTTTCTTGCCTCTTTGCATCCCTGCTCTCAGGCCATCTCACCCTGGCAGGCCTTCAGCCACTGCCCTGTGTATGGCACCTCCCACATCTTGCTTTGGAGAAGCCCTCTCTTCTGAGCTCCAAGCCCATTTCCCCACTGTTTGTTGGACATCCCATAGACCCCCCAAAGGTCAGAAAGATTTTGTCAAAATCTGTTCCTCTCCTTCCTCTGTCCCCCTCCTAAGCAAATGAAGCAATGTCTTAGAGCATTATTCCACTTACATAATTGTAACCTTCAGAACCCAAATGCTGTTGTAGGAGGGTAATCTGGTAATAGCTATTTATAGTTCTAAATACTCATACCCTTTAAAAACGGTGAAATTTATCCCATAGAAATGCTACAACAGGTAGGCAAAAAATACATACATTATATGCTTATGGTTTATATACTATAAACACTTACATTTGTAAATTATATGTATACAATACATAATTATTTATAATATATGTGCATATATCTTGTAAAAAAATTTATAAAGATACAAATAAGTGTTCTCCCAGTAGCATTCTTTGTAGTAACAACAACAACAACAACAACAAAATGGAAACAACATTCCGTCAACGGGGAGTTGAGCGGATGATGATTTGGGTTCATCCACCCAGTGGCGTGCAAGGAAGTCATTTAAAAGAATTAGGTCTGGATCTGAGTAAAGACTCGTCAGCCTGAGATAAAGTCAAAAGTGCTCAGTGCTGACGTGATTATAAACACTTTGATAGGTGTCCTGCTGTAGTATTTGGTTTTAAAATTTTCACGCCAGTAATCCAGAATGTTCTTAATGTTTGGAATTTTATCAAAATAAGAATACAAAATGTAAACATTTTCTTTGTGGAAAATTCTTTAAGAATGCACCCAGTGACCCAGTTTAAGAAATTTGCTTTAAGCTGCTTGTTCCCTTAGTGTTGCCTGGATACCCAGTAGAAATTCAGGTTCCTGTTCTACCTCCAGCCCCAAACTACAGTATAAGAGGCAGAACTTAAATCTGAACATTTTGTAAGCACACTGAAGCCCAAGAATTTATTTTGTGAGAAGACAAGTTAAGCAAATCAGATCTGCAATAAAACAACAACAATGCACCTTAATGAGGATGACCAAGGTATAGCCTGCTTTTAAATTCCAGGTACTGAGGGGATTCAGCAATGTACGTCTCTTCTGGATAGACAGGTGCCTGTCCTGTGCTATGGGGGGAAGACATCTGCAGCTTTCTCCCCCATGGCCTCCTCTCTTTTGGGTACCAGCTGCGG